CAAGAGTACTTAGGGTGAATGACATTGTGCGGTAAATAATTATCCGAAGTCCTTTGTCGGTTAATTAACTTTTGATGTAGTCAATAGTTAGAACTAATAAAACTCATAGCTACCAATTTCACATAAAGCAGTTGATGATGATGTGAGTAGTTGCATACGTGAGCTCGCTTGACATTGAGGGTACGTTGGGCGATAAGAGTTTTTTTTTAGGTTAAAAGCCTAACAAAAGGTGTCCGGTAAAAACACATCCATTTATGGGGCTCATGTGGGCCTCCACTCTAGTATGGTTTTGTAAATTGGCATTTTCTATGGTAATGGTACACCCTCTTTTTTTATAAAAAAAATAAAAGTTGTTGATTGTTTTATACTTTCTTATGCCTACCTTATTCATCCTTTTATATGAAAAATTATGATATGGTTATGAAAGTTTGCTTAAAATTGGATATAAATATGATATAGTATACCGTTGATTTATAATAATATATTATTTTATTAATTGTAATTCATTCTATTTAAAAATTTTTTTCTTCTTAATTATCCTTAATAAAAGATATTTTATGTAAAAATTTAAAATATTTTTTTTCATAATCACACTGCCGACAACACCACCAACCTCATTTTTAATCAACACACATTATTTTATATCCATAACTACAACTACGATTACATGCACAACTATAGTCACATCCAATTTTAATAGCAACCACGAGACTTTAGTTATATTTTTTTTATAAAACAAGCTGTATTTGATAATCACTACAATATCAATCTTTATTGACATTATTTACGATGCCGAATATATACAAATTGAAGGATATGTGTATTTTAAACATATAAGCAAAGTTATGTTTGTAGCCCTAAATGATTGATCGGATGTTTACGGAAAATTGCTTTTAACTTTTGATTTTTTGAAGTTTTAATTTTGAGTTAGCATGTATATAAATCTATTAAATTTCTTTGAATACAAATGATCGACATTGGAGATGCATTAGTAATTTAAAAATAAATAAATTTCGATCGATGTTTTAATTAATTAAAAATATTTATTGATATGAATTAAGAAGAAAGAAAGAAAAAAAAGATTAAGGTGTGTGATTTCATATGGTGTACTTTTGGCGGGAATGTTTGAAACATATGGTTTCAATTATTTGAAATGTACGCATTTCACATTATTTATTATAGCTGTCATCTTTGTGTTATTTTGCTAATTTATCATGTTGTTTTCATTTTTCTTTGTAAATAGAATCTTAATTACTTGTTCAGGCATGGGCTGCCCATATGTAATTCTCCATGTTCAAGTAATCAAAATCATGAAAGAGTTTTATCATGACGATGATCTCTGCTTGTTTTTCTTTTTAATAATTTTAGAGATATTAAAAAAAAATTGCTGACCTTTTTATTCAGTGATACACAATAATTTTGGATAAAGCATATATTTTAACAAATGATAAATAAATAGAATATTAAAATGAGGATTTACTCCATAACATTAAGAACTTTCTCGAACAAAATCGTCGCATTAATAAGGAAAAAGATTTTGTAAGAAAGTAACATATTTTTCCAGTCGGTGTCAAAGTTGTTGGCTGATCGACTTGTTTGACAATCAAATTAACTAATTACATGAGAAGGAAAAAAATAATATAATCGACAACAGAGAAATAAATATATAGCAGATGTATCTTTTAACTTGTCATTTCGACCCCTTATTTTTCCAGTTTCAGAGTTTTAACAGTGTCGTTTTGGCTTTGCTCTGGGCTACTTCTGTCATTAATTAATTAGATTAGTATTTGTAAATTGCAATCCATATGTTCTTTCGATCATGGAGTCATGGGAAAAGTTTACTTTTCTGGTTTTTATTTGGGCTACATTTAGTTCTCTTGCTGTATCCGTATTAGTCTTGGGATTGGGCCATGGCCCAAATACATACATATATGGTCCTCTCCAATATATGCTGATTTCTGGTCCATGAAGTTACAAATCTTGGATGAGCTTCGGCTTCAATGCGCTTTCAGTTAGCAGCCTAATTAAAAAACGGAGTGCAGCCATTAGGTATTGAATAAACTTACCAAGTTTACGATATCGGAATAGCAGCATTTTTTTTCTTTTCTGTCTAATCTCTTTTGCTTTTTCAACCTTGTTTTTTCTGGATTGGTATCCTCTCGTACTTATGAAGAAACATCAACGTTATATTTATTAAATTTAACATCATTAATCCAATTCAAATTAAATAGTTATAATGTATTATATAATTAATAAAAATAAAAAATAAAAATAAAAGCTTTATTATTTATTTTTTCTCAAGTAATCTAAATCATTGAGTTTAAATTAATGGTTAGTTTGAAACATGACTGGTCATATTTTTTTAGAAACATACTACAATTTTATTTTTTTTTATATGTATTCCGTTGCGAATCAAATAGAATATATAAAATTATTTTAATTTGATTTTTCAGATTATATTGTGCATATATCAAAATATATTAAATCAAAACTGAATAAAAATTTATTCTATTGTATAATTTTTAATCAAAATTTTGGATTTGACTAATTATTTATTATATTTTTCATAAATTTTCAAAAAATTATTTATTTATCTCTATCCAAAAACTAAAAAAATTTATAGTAGTATAAAAAATGTCAAAATCAATATATTATTAAATAAAAGCTTATTTGTAAATTAATTTTTTAAAATATTTTTTTGCTTTAAAATTTTTATTTAAAAAAAAAGGGATCAAAGTGATCAAAATGAAACAAAAAAATTTACGTACTAAAAAAGAAATGTTTAAAAAAGGGTTAGAGTGTAATATCATAAAAAATTTCATAATAAATATCTTTAAAATATTTAAAAATTATAAAAATATCATTACGTAATGAAAAAAATAATGCATATGAGTTTTAATGAACAATATGAATAAATCTAAATGAACAATGGTTCAAATAATATGATGAATAGTAACTCATCATTTTATTTTAGTTTTTTTTCGTTAATACAAGAGACCGGTCATATCTTTTTTTTTTTTTTTTAGAAACATGAGAGAGTTCAAATATAATTTTTCAATGCCAAAACCAACTTAAAATAAAATGATCTATCATGATAAGTAAATTCCAACCATTGATTTCGAAATCAGTAGTTTGAATATTTTAATAATAAATAAAAAAATTTATATGTCAAAACCTTGCTAGCTCAAGTATTGGTGATAAGGAGCTGTATTTTGTACTTAAGAAGTTTACGGATGCAGATCAAGTTGGCAGTATATATTAGCAAGTAGTTCTTTACGGAACAATAGGACGGTGCATCGGCGCTATAGAGGAAGTGCAGGCCATCTATGGTCTTGGTAATGCAAGTCAAAAGATTGTGGATGGTGCTAGCACAAGCCGCGCATAGATAGAAGAGAAAGGTCACGACAAATGCTAACTACCAAACAATTATTTGGCAGCTAAATTTTATCTGATATCGTTTTTGTTTTTCTTTTCTAGGCATGCTCAGTAGGCGTTGGTTTTGTATAAAATATTTTGAAGGAAATTTTTTTTAATATTTTTTTTCGTAAAAAATATATAAGAAAATCAGTTAATGTAATTTTAAAATTCATTTTTAACAAGATGTTATTTGTTGAAAAATATCATTTTCAAAATTTTGTAAAATATTATACAGATAATACTTCGTTCGGGATATTATTCAACTATTTCAATTATAACTATTTTCATCACTATGGCTATGTCACCACCACAAGCCATACATTACTCGACCATGTCGCTGCCACCTCAACTCTACCTCCACAAACCATCACCATTAAAACACATTGTTATCATCATTTTATTATTATTATATTTTTTAAATTATTGCTTATCAAATATTGTAAAAAATTTTCCATGTAAAATATTTTATGTAAAATTTACACAAGCTTTTTAATTAATAACATTAATTACTTAAATGTTTTAGAAGTATCTATGATTTATTATAAGTTGAACCAACTTATTATCATTAGTAAGCTACCAAATGATGCTCGAGGTATATATTAATTAAGCTTTATGCGTGATGGCTTATATATTATATTTCGTAATTAATTAATGTGTTTTTGTTATTTTCTATTTCATTTAACATACTCTGTATATATAACTACAATGAGGCAATTTTCTGGTACGCAAGTGTTCTTTGTTTATGAATTTTGCTACAAAAATTTACTTGATTTCAATATAAACTTCACCGTTTTAATTAATGATTTGATGCATGCTTCGTGGTTCCCTTTATCCAAAGTTCGTCTTTGCAATACTTTGTTCGAACACGGAAAAATATCATACAAAATAGTTTTCTTTAAGCAAATCTATATCCTTAAAATTATTGTACTATTTAGTTATTTATCCTTTTTTGGTTTTTACTAACAATGGTTTTCCTTACAAATAATGGGTTTTCTTTGGCTTTCTCAACCAAGTACCAGTTGAGCTTGTACAAACTACCTTAAGACCATACCTTATTAATTGTCTTATCCTCTTAGACCAAATCTTATATTATCACACTGAAACAAAGGCCTGACAATGTAATGATCTATATATAGATTAACGAGCAAAACCTCAATGATGCTGTAGTAATTCATCTAAGAAAGAAAGAAAGAAAAAAGAAAATTCAATTATATATATATATGCTTGGCGAATTAATTCCTTTGCCAATCCTGTTGATACACTATACGGTGTGCAATGAAAATTTTTAAAGACATGCACCAACAAAATGTGCAAGAAAAATTGTTTAATTTTATTATGCAGGAAAATATTCTAATAAATAACAAAATAAACCTTAATTAACTGACCACACGAAAGATTGCTTCAACTAAGCATGAACCCCAATTCAATATTAAGTTATATCAGCAACCCTAATAAATTCAAAAAATAAAAATAAAAAATAAAGATGCAAGATCTTTGCCATGCCATAACAGTAACGTGTGGCACACTTTCATCTCCTCTATGCCCGACTTGAGCTAACACCATGCATGGTCTGTACAGCTCCCTCATGCGTTATCACTACCAACTTGATCCCAACCCATGAGGTTCTTGACTTCATCTGCATCCTTGATCTTTAGGAGTACCAGCCACAGTTTCTTGTCACGTCTGAAGGAATAAACTTGGACAATATCATTCAACTTTAGTGAACCCACATTCCTATCCAAAACATCCTTCCAATTAGAGGTTATCATATAAGAAGCATTGTTGTTTATTTTCCATTGCCTCAACCTCATTGTACTTTCATGAACATTGCCATTTTTAAGACCCATCTCTACAAGTTTCACTTCTGTACCACTGCTCTTGGTTTGGCACATCTTCTCCATCTCCTCTTCATTCAGAAACTCTTCATTGTCCTTAACTTGGTTCAAAGGCATCGAGAAACGTTCCTGATGCCTATCCATATCAGTTTTGAAAATCTGTTTCATGATCCTTAACTTGATTTCGCTATCTCGCCCTTCTTGATGACCTATCCTGGCTCTTATTTGAGAAGAGAAATTGGGTGCAGGATTCAGACCCAGCTTCTTGAAATCTACCCTTACCATCTGTCTTTTTTTTGACGGTCTCTCTCCCCGATCCTTCCGGTCATCTTCATTGTTCGTCCTTTGGCGTTTACAGATTTGCTTTCCACCAGCAGTCTTTTTCTCTCGTCTTTTGATCTTTAGTTTTGGACCATCTTCATGAGTATTGATATGGTAATCATGGCTTGTCTTGACAAACTTTTGTCTACTAATTCCTCTCTTTTTCTTGGGTTCAAGAATACCAAGCGGGTTTGCAAATCCATTAACACTGCTAATGGTACTCTTGGAGTCTTCTTGATCAGAATAAGTACTCTGGGTATTCTTGGAAGAAAACCCTAATTCATCAAGAGTACCAACACTGGTTTTCTTGGCTTCTTGATCAGTACTACTTTGGTGGCCTTTCTTTTGAAGAAGCCCTTCTTCACATCCTCGTCTTTTCTTGGGGACAGAAACCTTAAGCGGGTTCACAAATTCAGGGGCGCTGCTACTCTTGGACTTCAAAGACTCTCTAAGAGCACAATTATTCTTGAACCAAACCAAAGCCTCTGCAAGTTCCTCTTGCAGCGGAGTTAACTTTTGTTTTTCATCTCCTGAGCTTTCTTTTTTACTGTACTCAAGAAGCCGTTTATCTAAAGAGCCATCAGCATGATATTGATGATCAATACTCGGGCTACACCCACACAGTACCATCGTTTTCTTTCCTTGAACTCCCTTTTCCAATTTTCTTTAGCAGATAGTTGAATAAAAAACCTAAAGAAACCAAATTTATTCGCAGTAGACAAACAATGGCAATGATATAAAGATTTAGAGAGAAAAAAGAACTCGCATGTGTTGTGACTGCAAATATGTGGATATTGGGTATTAAATATAGAAGCCAAGCAACGATCAATCCTGATAGAAACAGGATGACTTTTTCTTTCTCTTATAGCTAGGTTATCATAAATAATCCGACTACAATGAGAATTGCATTTTTTTTTTTTTCCGATTTCTTGATTTCCAAGTTTTAAAAAAATTGGAGAGCGAGTTAAAAGAGAGATAGCAGGAGTTTTCAACAGAGTCAAACTGGACTTCATAATTGGGTTCAAAAAGGCTTTCAAAGCCCACATAAATTAGCCCACTCAAAAAACATATCCTTATTCAGTAGGTTCTCAAATTTATACAATGGGCATCAGACAGAAAGTCTCTAACATACTTTAGGCCCTCAATTTTCTTTTGGTTAACAGATAGGGCTTAGGGCCCAACAAGCAGAAATTTATGTAGGACAGTGCGGGCCCAAAAACGATCATTTGTGATGACTCTTCATTCTTCAACCCAACATTTACGAAGGTAAATGGCCCTCCATGAATGATTTGCAGAGTCCTTCCCATTTTCATCTTCAAAGCAAATTCCTGTGCATCTTGTGATTTGCACACCAGGGGGAATGTTTCTTGAGAATATATATATATATATATATATATATACACTGTGAACCATCACGTGGCTCTTGAAAATTAAAATAGAATATTCTCGACAATAAAAGCAATAAGCTACTCTTAAAGATAATATTTAATAAAAAAGATTATAAAAAAACGGCAGACCAGTTCATGTGCTACTCTGGCCATAAATTGGAAAAGGAATAATCGTATATTTTACAGAGCATGTACTCATCGCTGCGCCTATAATAATAGCTGTCCACGACTGTCTGACATCTACTCCTGATTCTCGTGTTAATATACTACAGTAGAAAGAATGATTAGAATCAAATCAAACATATCCATATCTTCTTGATCATCATTGATTGCTTTTTTTTTTTTAATTCTCTATTACGTCAATCAAAATTAAAAACTTTTTGGAATGATTTTAAAAACCCATCACTCGTCAATATTATGTATTAAAAAATAAATTATTTTTGGTGAGAATTGAGAGGAAGAAAAAGAAATCTGATTCATTAAGGAGAATAAGCACTCCATCAATTTGTAAACACGAGTTAATCTCGAAATAGGTTGCAGGCAGATTCAACAGATAACGTGGCTTTCACTTTTAACATTACCTTTCTTTTCGTTCTTTAAGAGACATTGTCTGATTTTATATAGTTACGATTGGATGGAAATGAATCAACATTGATTAATTTTTAAGCGAAAGTACAACAAAATGAGCTGTTAGACACTAATTATAATTGTAACCTGAATATTAATTCATCGTACTGTACTGGCGGTGGACAAGATAACATAGAGGGTAATTTTTAATTTGCAACTCAAGATTGGAGAGGTTTTTTAATTTTTTCATTGAGATTTCCTTCCTGTCAATTATTCTATTTAATTTATTAAACTAACATAATTAATATTTTTTATATTTCAATTGATTTTTTAAAAGTCGTAATTAACCACATATTTCTCAATTATATATATATATATATATCTCAAAATTTAAATTTATAGAATTTTAATATATATATATATATACAAATATTGATAAAAATACACATACGAACTATAAATCTGAGATATTTTAATGAAATTATAATGATCTAACATAAATTGACAAAATTTCTTGATAAAAAGAAGAAAAAATTAACACAACTTTGTACCGTCTTTTTATATTCTCATTTTCAAAAAAAAAAAAAACACTTATGTTAAATGTGTAAAATATAAAATTTAGTATAATACAATTAACAATATGAATAAACTATATATATTTTTGTTCAATGCATAATTTTTTTATTAATCCTTCAAATCATATTAGTATTCATAAAACTCAAACTAAAACTAAGTATGGGACATTTACTAATTAAAATAATACTACTTCTTCCCTTTTTTTTTTTTCAAATTTTGATAAGATGAATTTTAATACGATTTAATAATAAATATTTGATTGAATCTTTTTTAATATTCTAGAAAATTAATCGAAACAAAAAAATGTTATATAACTAGTTATGCTAGTTTAACAGGTGGAAATAAAGAATTGTAACTTTGATGAAAATTTAAAAAGGTAAATTGATACAATTAAAACTCCATAAGAGAAATTGAGAAATCTCTCAAATTTCAGGGGGTAAATCAAAATTTACCCTAAAACATACTTAATTTATAATACCATACAAGATTTATTTAATTATTTCGAGAATTTTGTAGTTTGTTTTAAAATAATCATGGGCAACCCTTACAGAAAAAAATAAAATAAAAATTGTAAACAACTCCTAACCATGATTGCAGAGCATATATTAGAAATAAAGTGGTGCATTTACCCAATAAATCAATCAATAAATAAAATGGTATGGTATACAGGAGGATAAAAAAAGAGAAAATTTAAATAAAAACGGTCTGCAATTTCTACTCTCCAGAAAATTGTTTTGAGTCTTGGACTCTTCAGTTCACCAAAGGCCGAACTGCACTCTGCCTTTTGGGCTTCCTATTCAATTTCCTCAAGAAAAATAAAAAATAAAAAATAAAAAATCAAGAGAATATTTTTATTTGATTTCTCATTTCCATGACTTTTATTTGCAATATTTCATTTATTTTTTTTTGACATATTAGGAAGATATTAAATTTAAAAATTTACAATTTTTACATCACTTTTATTTACAAGTTATTTGTTTTAATATTTTTAAACTTAATTTAGTTGATAAATGAGTTTGTCTTTTACATTATTATTATTATTCAAGATTCAATCGTAAACAAAAACAAAATAATTTTTTTTTATATATAAATATACTTTTAATTTGTAGAAAATCCAATGAAAAAGAAATTAAACCTTTAAGTGTTCGTTTGATAATCGGGAATAAAGTGATGGGAATGAGAATGCGGGAATCGGAATAGTATTGGTATTCCAATACCGTGTTTGGAATACTAATAAGGAATCGAATGCAATTTAAATTTTTTAATATCCGATTTTATATATAAATATAAATAATGATTAAAAAATAATTTTATTAAACTATAATAGTTATAAAAATAATAAAGTTAATGGTAGTGATTGTGGTGGTTCTAGTAGTGGTAGTGATGGTGGTGGTGACAGTAATAATTGCGGTAGTTATGATGGTTGTGATTATGATAAAGATGGTTGTGGTGGTGGTTGTGATAGTCGTGGTGATGAAGATAGTGGTAGTGGTGGTTGTGATTGTGATAGTGGTGATAGTGGTAGTTGTGATGGTGGTGGTGATGAAGATAGTGGTAGTAGTGGTGGTGGTTATGGTTGTGATAGTGATAATGGTGGTGGTGGTGATGAAGGTAGTGGTGGCGGCGGTGGTTGTGGTTGTGATAGTGGCGGTGGTGATGGTTGTGATAGTGGCGGTGATGAAGATAGTGGTGATGGTGTTTGTGGTTGTGATAGTGGTGGTGGTGGTGGAAAAAGTAGTTAATAGATAATAAATAAATAAAATATATTATTATTTTGAAAAAAATTCATTCTTATTCCTTATTTTTTATTCCTACATTTTATGTGTGAATGAAGTTGTGTGTAAATTTTCATTTTCATTTTCACTCTTCATTCCCATTCCCACTTCATTCATTTTAACTAAACAACTATAATGTGGAAATAAAACTTCTATTCTCATTTTTATCATTTTATTCTTAATTACCAAACAACATCTTAGGTGAAAGAGTTGATCCTACCGACCCAAGAAATTATGCAGCCTTAACAAGTGGGAAAATGGTAAGGATACACGTCACAGAAAAGTCCACCATAAACCGATGGTTTGTTATGAAAGCAATAATTACGTCAAAAAAAGAGAAAGAAAAGGCTAAAATCAATAGCCAATAACAAGAAAAGTGGTGACCAAAAAGAACAGGTAAGGTTAAAACTTGATTTTGACAGTCAAACCAAATGAAATAACCTTTGACAACTACACTTACCAAAATAGTAATATACTAGAACGAGAATAATAATAAAAAAAGCCGGCCGTGGAAAATCAATTTAAAATATTACAATAAAAGATGCTAAAAAAATAAAGCAGCAGAAAATTGCAAAATAATGAAAAGATAAAGACTAAAAAGCTAATTCTTTCCTGAATTTTAGTTGATTTAAAAATCAATTTTTGAATTTTGAATTTGTATTTTGTTCTTTTGATTTTTTTGTGTGATCTAATTCATTCTATAATTTTTAACTATTACTCTTCTTTTTTTTAAAAAATTAATTTTTGATATTTTGATGTAAAATTTTCCACACATGTTTGGAAAATATAATTTTTTTAAGAAAAAATTGTAATTTTTTTTTAAATTAGAAATTATTTTTTCTATTTTTTAAATATCAAAAATATAAAAAATTAGAAAAAATAGAAAATAACTAGAATCAAAATTTTTAGAAAGTTTCATAAATCTCAATAAATGATTTATATCATAAAAATATTTATGTAATTAATACTTTTAAAAATAAATTAAACAATTAAAGAAGTGACTAATTTTTTTTTAAAAATAAAAATTCAAAAAGTTCTAAATACAAATTAAAAATTTAAAAATTAATTCTTAAATAAATTAAAGTGTAGGGGTGGTTTGACATTTTAGGCAAAGATAAAATTAAAATCCCAGCATAGACTTGTTTTTTGCTGTATAACTGTCAGCTATCGTTGTTCGTCCATCTGAAGCTTCCTACTTTCTTTGTTCTCTCTGTACATAGATAGATAAGGCTTTCTTGGTAAGTTTTTTAAGGCTCTTAAAACTCCTTTTTATGCCAACTTTCTTTCATTTCTCTTTTTTGCTTCAAAAAAAGATTTTAGCTTT